GTTTCCATCCTTTTTGGTGTGCCACCTATTCTTTCAAACCTGACAGTCAACCAGTAGAGCGGGCCCATTATCTGGCAATCATCACGTCCTGTACATGTTACAAAGACTTTCATTTGGCTTTCCCTTAGCTGTGGTTTTTGACTTGCGCATTATCTTAACAACCCTAGCTTTTGCACAAAACTGTGATTGTTAGAATCATTCACTGAACAGCTTTGATAGACAGGCCTGATAACTCTCCTGTCGATCAATGTGAAGTGAACAGAAGAAGTTGGAGAAGAATATATATATATATATATATATAGGGCTAAAATTTCATCTGAAGAGCAGCTCTGGCTCAAGGGAATGAAGAGAACATGTGAGGAAGGAATGGGGTGATAAGGAACACATTTCTGTTGCTGCTTTTAAAGGAAATCCGTGTGGACGGTGTGGACTCAATAGGGATGGTCTGTAAATCATTAACTTGGGAATAAATGATTCTTCAACAGACAGATATGATAGTGATTTCAGCAACATGCAGAAGAATTAAATCCTTATAATAGAAACATGGTTTTCCTTTTTTTTTTTTTCAAACGCAATCTATTCTTTAACCCCAAATCCATTCAGGAATTTTAAAGGAGAAACTGATTTCTCAGTAAAGTCTAAAACTCCAAAGTGCTAAATGACATTTGGAGATAAAAGTAGTGCATGGCAAAGCTAATAGCGGGTAAAAGTAGTATACATCAAACGTAATGAAAATACCTTATCGCCTATGTTTGTTCCAGTTATTTTCTCTTCTTATTTTATGCATTGATTTAACATTAAAGTTTAAAAGCGTTGGGTTGGTTTGCCTCTTATGCTCACCAAGTCTGCATTTATTTAATTGAAAATTTTGTAAAAACTGAAATATTGTGAAATATTAGTACAATTTAAAATAACTGTTTTCTATTTTAAAATGTTATTTATTCCTGTGATGGCAAAGCTGAATTTCCAGCATCATTACTCCAGTCTTCAGGGTCACATGATCCTTTAGAAATCATTCTAATATGCTGGTTTTATGCCGATTTATTATCACCACTGTTAAATACAGTTATTTTTATATTGTGTGGAAACTATGATGTGTTTTTTTCAGGATTCTTTTGATGAATAGAAGTTCAAAAGAACACAATTTATTTGAAACAGAATTGTTTGTAACAAATACAAATGTCTAACAAATACACTCAATTATTCATACAATGAAAATGGCTACAAGGAAACGTCATGGCATTTCCTGATTACGTCGACGAAAAGAAAAAAAAAAAAAGATTGAAAAGCCAAGATTGAAAATGGCTTTTCAATCTAGCAAGTAGGGCTGGGACAATGTGTCGACATCATCGATTACTTCGACGCAAAAAAATATGTCGACGCAAAATATGCGAATATGCAAATTATGCCAAACTGTACGTTTTGTCGAGCGTTTTGTTTTGTCCTCATAAGAGCAGTCTTAAATGAATAAAATAAAGTATTTCATTTTAATAAGTAAATTACTCACTCAGACCCGGCGGCAGGATGGTTATACCGCAGCCTGATAATCATGAATGCACTCCGCTATCTTTTAACAACTCTCCGGCGAACTCGCAAAAGGAAAAAATGTCACGAAGCGCAGTAAATTCGGCGACCTATGTGGCGTTTCCTGGTGGATCGAGTTTGTTCATTTTATACGTGCAATTCACGCAAGCTCTAAGCGTGTGCGTATGCGCTTATAGCTTTATTAATGTCATGGAAAATACATAGAGGACACTGACCAACAAGCTGACAGACAGGACCAAGAAGGTAACATTGAATTGAATGTCTCAACTTTCAAATTTGGTCAGTCAAAGAAAATGAAACCATAAATAAGCCTACTGTTTTATGGTTATTTAATGTGTCGTGACATATAGCACTTTTTTCAGTAAGCTAGGATACGCGTTTTCAAGGCTTCAAGGTTTTATTGAATGCTACCTTTAAGAATGCATTACTTTGCACTTGTATAGTATAGTCTTTTTTATTTTGGAATTTTAAGAGCAATAAACATTGCAATGTTAAGGAATTCATGTTTTTCTTTTTCATTCAGATATGTAAATCAATATAAATTGCTATTGGTCAATTAATGGGGAGATAATCGATAATCGAATCAAAATTAAATCAGACTGGGAAAATGAATCGTTAGATTAATCGATGCATCAAAAAAATAATCTCTAGATTAATCTTTTATAAAATAATCGTTTATCCCAGCCTTAGTAGCAAGCCATTTTCATTCTATGAAAATTGCTTTAAAAAAAATACATTTTTGTAACATTTGTTTTAACCCTAAAACCATATTCTGGACAAATGTGGGCAAAATAGTTTTGATTTATTTTTAAAAAATACTTTCCTTGATCTGAGCGGTACAAGACTTGGCTACTTTTCCTAAGTTTGCCTCCTGAACACACACAATTTTTTTGACTCAATTCTACAATGTTAAGTGGGTGGGAAAAAAAAGCTCCTTAATCTTGTATTTGGGTCAAAAATGGGCACCCATAGAAATGAATGGGAAAAACTGTAATTTAGAGCATTCTAAAATAAACCAAAAAAAGACACCAGGTGACAGCAAAGTCACTTCATCTTTAGGTTTTAGCTCTAAGAACTTATTGGAATGATATTTTAATGTATTGAATTAAAAATAAAAAAACCCATAAAAATAAGAATAATTTACATAGAAAATATGGTACTTTTTGAAGTAAATAAATTCAAAAATACCCCCAAAATAAAATAAAAAACAGCATAAATGGATAGACAAAACTTTATCGAAGACAGTGATATAACATTTATAATAAATAAAAATTAGGATCACACCTGAGTCCTCTGTGCCCATTTGTCCACAATTACAGGATTAAGGGCTATAAAGTGAATACGGTTTGAGGGCTACGTGTTTCCCATGCTGTGCAAAACATGTCACCAAGGTCCACTGAAACGCCAGTGTCCTTGCTGACATGTTTTGCACGGAAAATAAAAAGATTGGTCATACATCAACATTCAACATAAAAACATCTTGCTTAATCAGCAGCATAAGCTGTCACCTTACCATACACTGCGCAAACGACATCGCAAATCTGTTTAATAAATAAAATCTCATTTTCACATTTAAGGTCTCACTGATTCAGCACAAACCGTCCCGCTCCTCAAACAAGCCTAGTCTTCCTGCTGAGCCAAACAACACGGGGGGGCTTCGGCTCTGCAAAGCTGACGTAGGTAATTCATAAACAGAAGGAAATGACTTCCGCAACTGAAACAGTCAATCTTTGAGTCAAACGTTCACACACAATGAGTTACGGTATTTACTGTACAGTGTCCATACAGTGTGCTGCTGGACCACGCAATGTGGAATGAGGGGGTTGAGGGGTGCCTGTAATCAAGATTAAGAGATTTTATAAATTGCTCTGACAAGCAGGAGGGCTGGAGGGAAGCACAGATAACAGAGAGAGGCTTCTATTCCCCCACCCAACCACCACAACGTCCCATCGGTTCAGGAGAGTACCTTTGTTTGCGGTGGCAGGCACAGAACAGGATGTGAAACAGGAAAGCTCTGCGTAATGAGAGTTGACTGACGTGGCCGAGCAGCTATTAGAGTTTGGTGTTGAGGGCACGGCCCACATTGATTCACAAATCAGTTGTGAATAAGGGTTAATAATGCACTTTAAACTCAACTAAATGAAGGTTAATTTGCTTTAAGCATTACAAGCTCACTTCAGTCTTGTTCATTGAGAGTAGAACAAGAAAGACCTCTGATCAAGGTTAAATAACATTGCTACTGTAAATATAAACCTTGCCCTAAAACAAACTGTAAAATGCAGTTAAAATGTAATCACCACTAGAGAAGTAGGAACGTTAGTTGGTTCAGTGGTTTCATGTGTTGTTGATAGTGAATCAGTAATGTGGGAACCTGACAAATAAAGACCATGCTATAAATGGGTCGAGATGATTAAAAAATGTTTGAATTTATGTTGCATCATACACAATATGAAAAACTCTCAATTTTGATTGAATGATTTTAGAAGTGCCACGTAATTATAAAGTAAGAAATAAAAAAAATGATTACCTTAAATAAAGGGTACTGTATAGGCCTACGCAACTTACAGTATGAACTATTTTTAAAAGTTTCGAAACATTGTTCAAGTTTTTTGTTTATTACTTGTATACAAATTTCCTTAGAGTTTATTAACTGGTTATAAAAAAACGAGCCATTTCATAAAAAAAACTTAAATGTTAAAAAATGAATGACAGTCATATAGGGTCTAAAGGGGTCTGCTGTTTCACTTTGATTGGATGGACAAAACTTTTTCAAATATTAACAATATATATATATATATATATATTTACAAAATCACTTCTTTTTGAGAAATAAAAAAAAACAATTATCAGACAGTTACACATTTTTTTTAAGTTCTTAATTAAAAGGTAATTTTGATGGGTTTTTTTTAAGGAATTAAATGCTTTTTCATCATATAACAGAAGCGTATGTGTTTGAATTGTATGCATTCGTCTTGTATTTTGATAACATAACCTGGACAAAAATAATAAGCATTCATTATTACATCATTGACCCAAACAGGACCTCAATAATAATAAATAATAATAATAATAATAAAACCTCTAACATGACACATTAAATCAATATGCATGAATGAAATAAGAAAAAAATGTGTCGTTTTAAAGCAGCTATAACCAATATTGAATCCGATTTGACAGATGTTTGCATGATGAGCGTGTGATCTTTCATGCATGTGAAGCACACAGTTTCAGGAGTATAACCCCGAAAACAAGACCTGAGAACTGATGAATTAGACGGATTGATCTTGAGTCTCTATCTTCTGCTGTCAACTTTGAGCTACTGATGCAAGAGGGACAGAAGATCATTCCCTTTTCCTTTCGTTTTCGTCTTACGTCAGATTCAGAACATCTGTCCGATATGCGCATTATACATTATTGATCATATCGATCCATAAGATTCCTTATAAAAGACTCACCAATGACAAGAATAAGAACATTTCGACCAGTCTCCTACGTCTCCCGTATCTGTTCCAAGAAGCCATGATGCCGCTGCCACGTCTGGTCACGCAAGCGCAATCCATATTCCTTCAAATCCCTGGAGAACGCAGGGCTTCTTAGGAAATGTAGTTTCTTCGGAAATGTAGTTTAAGGGCTTAAACGAGGGCATACTACAGACACATACTTGTGAATGTGCATCATTTCAGCTCATGTAAATTATTTCTAATCCAAAACTGTTCTATTCAAATGACTTACTGTTTCCTGAACAAAAGCTTCGAAACTGAAAATAATTAGGCTGTCTGTTTTGAATGTGTTTGAATGTGTTTGACTTAAATTGTGATGTCAGTTATATTACCATAGCCTATTTAGTGTGGCTAATGTGTTATAGTTCTTGGCAAAATAAAATGTTGTAACTTCTGTAATATTCTACCCCCCAAAACAACTTCTGATGTAGAAACAAATGCAATAAGTGGTATTGTGAAATAAATGAAATGAAATTAATTCATTTGAATATTAAATGAATGAATGAACGGTTAGGTTTCAAGACTCCTTTTAGCTCAATCTATGCAATTCAATGAACCACAGTTACACTGAAAATCTTACAAAGTCAACATAATATGCTACTATAAGTTACCATTGGTGTTCCAGTGAATGGCTCAACCTATACAATGAATGAGGGAAATTATCTTATTATTTCTTTATAATTGGTGTAATGGAGTTTAGGTGACACATCATGTGAGTGACAGAAAATATAACCATAATTATAGCTAGCTAAAGATTGTATAATTATATAACTATATAAAAAACATATCCTACAGTAAACTTGTGTGACCTTGTTGAACTCATAGTGATTCTATAAATATTGGGTGGTGGTGTAAAAACAAAGTATACCGTAATAACTGTACTTTATAAAACAAGTTTTTTTTTTTTTTTTTTTTTTAACACAGCGGCTTCAAATTTCACATTTAATGCATGTGTAATTTGTTTTAGGACAAAGTGTAAAACCATGTTAACCCACTGACTTTTTTTTTTAAGAAGCCTAAATAAAAACAAGTATTCTATTAAAACAGCATCCTTCAAGTTTGGCCTACAAATTAATTGAACAGCTCAATAATGATCAATAAACTATTATTTTGGAGAAGTAAGTTCCTTTGCCTGACTGTAGTCAATGGTTGCCTTAGCAATTTATCAGCAGCCTATTCTTATTAGCTGATAAATAACAGTCAGAAAAATCACATTTATATTTATATTTTAGAATTTAAATCATTTACTTTTCAAATTGTTCCTAGATAGTTCCTCAGTATTGCTATTTCATTTATATGGAAAAGGTATTTTCTTATATGCCTTCAAATACTTAAGGAAGGCATTAAATAATAGACCTACACTAACATTTATGTTATATATTTGCAATGATCATGCTGGTGTCAGACACACTGTAGTGCCACCACCTGGATGTGACAGTGGTACAACTATCTTGACTCTCGAGTCACCTCCCTCATCACATCCCCATCTGCTTAATGCTTATTGCAGCTTTCAGTGTTTGAGCGGATTTCCACAGCCCATATGTATTGTGACAGTTATCAAATATGAAAGCAACTTTCGAGAGTAAATCCAACAGATTTATATGGTGTTTTCTTTCTTTATATAAACATACAGTTAAAGGTTGCCCACTATTTGTTGGGTATTATTTACAGTACACACTTATAGGCCTGTGTTTTTGAACATCCTTTGATACTTCCTTAAGATTTGCTTGTAATAGCCTACCAGTCAAACACTTTGGATATGATTATGGCAATAATATGATTTAGCTACACATAAAAGTATCATATGACATGGCAGGCTACCATCAAGGTTTTTTGATTGCACCACACCAAAACCAAGATCAAGTTGTTATGACCTATTGCTACTTTTGGCAACATTGTGCGATTCAAACAGTTAATTAATTGCCATGGTACCTCACCGATTCTAGGGACAGACTATCCAGGCTCGATATAGGGGTGTTGTTGAATCCCAAAATACGATGGATTTTTTTTTTAATCTGCTGGAACAGGAAGACAATGTTCCTGTTACAGAAATTCCTTTAGAAAGTAAAATGAGAGCTTCATCAGATATCGCAGCCACTGAGCCAAACCTTTGAGGTGGAGAATCATGGCAGAGTTTGCACCCCTATTCGTTTGAGTTGCAGCTGTCCCTCTGTAGTAGCCTTGTCTTTCCAGCACAGCGCAGTAAAGCAGCTGCTTCAGGTCGATCGGTGGAAGTCATTCACAGAAAAGGGATACTGCACAGGAGACCTACGCAAAGCGGAGATTGCGGTTTATGCGTTGCGTTTTACGCACGACAGAGTTTACTTCAGAAGAAGGACGTCACAAGGTAAAAACACTCTCTTAGATAGTATTTTCCTCACATTTACAAGTATTAGGCTATAGAAACTGCGTCTAATGTTATTGTTGTAGGGTAATATTGTGAAGTAGACTTTTAGAAGTTCTGCGGTACTGACTATCAACATTTCAGCGACTCTCTCTGATTTTTTGTTTGTTTGTTTTTTCTGAAGAACATAAACATATAAGCCTGTTGTCTGATTACATCAATTTCTTTTCTTCCTTTCCAAATTAAAACGATTGTTCAATTTTAAATAACGTCAAGCTATTTTAAATCGCCAGTGGATTTGCATGAATCAGTAAATTTGTTTTGTTTTTTTTGTTTGTTTTTTAGTAATTGGCTATTGCCTTTTTAATCATCGAAGACTCCTTATCTAGCCTAATAAAAACTGGATATTGGTAGATTTTCTTTCTTTATGGTGTTCACAAAACCCTCATTGGGAATGCCATGTCTTTTAAACAGTCCTTTCCTCTCATGTTATTAAAGAACATGCATGTTTTATATGAACAGGATTCAGTAAGAGTTGCCTATTCCTTTATCCTGACAAGGAATTTACTCGCTGCTCACGTTCTGTTCAAGATCCGAGGAATTTTGCTTTGGAGTCGAAACGTTCGCCTTCATAAGCTCCCAGTAAAACACGCAATATTTCATTCTCTTTTATCATCGTTTGGCTTTTGAGGGATTTTCCTTGGACATACGTTTACTTTTCACCGAGAATAATCTACTTTTGCACAGAATGTTCGGATAGCCTAAGTCTCTCAGGTAATTAGAGGACGGATTTAGCATCTCTCGACTGGGCTACAGATCCGTGTGTTTTCAAACGGAGCAACTTTATAAGCGTTAACAGAAAAGCTAATTTTTTATTTATTGTTTTAATACATAAAACGGTATTTAGCTTTTTTCAGTCAGTAGCCTATGTGGGGAGTGAAGGATGCTGTCACTGTCAGAAAAGCATTGTCATGTGAATGATGTGCAATGATGATGTTATTTAGAAATGTAGAGAAGACTCTTTTTGAATACAACATAGGTGCTATGCTATGTCACAGGCACATATAGGCTACAACAGCAACAGTTTATTTTCTGTCTATAATTTAAGTTCGCTTTACCACACAAAACAAAGGCGCCAAATGCCTTTGTTTTTGTAAAGATAAGAACGCGCTTATGAGAAAAAGTAGACTATCCTCCATGAGAACGAGTAGCCTAGGCTATACTATGGCCAGCAAAGAGAACAAGTAGCCTACCTAAACAAAACAAGGATATTTTAGGAAATGTAGGTTGGTGCTGAACTGATTATTGTTGGCGATATCTGCAGACACAACATTTCGTCAGCCTCGCGCAGTAATGAGTAATAAATCTGTGTCTCGTCTTTGTTACACTCAATTTCCTCAAAAAATGAAAACCCAGCAGTTTTAAAACTTGAAATGATTGAGTTTGGTGTAAATGATGTAATGTGCAACACTATGCTCTTTACGAACCGGAGAGCAGGTGTACAAAACAGAGACTGAATTGCTGGTCAAAAACGGTAGGGGGAAGTGTCGAGTCTTGCAGCCAAAGCAAGGAGAAGGAAAATCACCTGTTGGCCTGGTGCAATTTAAATCAGGGCTGCTAAATTCTGGAGATCTACTATCCTTCGCAGATTTAACGGCAATCAAACAAAGTACATCAAGCAACCAATCTCAGTCTTTTGGTTAATCTCAGGGTAACAACAATAACTTTGTTGTAAACGCTGTTCTGTAATGAAAAGCATATGATTATGAAGCAAATCTGCTCCAATCCTTAGATTTTACATTGTTGGCTAAGTAGGGATAAATGATAGATGCATTTGATGTTCTTTTAAGCTAAAATCAAAGAGATTTTATAGATAAAGATATGCAAGCTCACATGGTCTCATAGGAAAACAAGGTTTGATATAGGCTAAGATCATCCTGCAGCACATTAGAAAATGCTTCAAAACCCTGTAACTGGGCTTGAATGGAATATTATAATTGATCCAATGGCCCATTGCATAAACTGCTAAGACTAGGCTTAAAAGTTAGTCACCATGCATGTTTCTAGAATAGGCCTAGGGGAGCGCGGGGCACAACCTAACGCGGGGTTAAATGTAACACGGACCTTTTACATTGGCCTAGTTAGTCAGGATCAAGCAGGTTGTCTTTCCGCTCTTTTTCTCTTGCTGCCAGAAGACGGTCTCCCGCGAATTTGCGTAAAGTTTTGGTAATATTTCGTGAAGATACTGGACAAAGAGTGTTTTGACACCATGCAAGTACATTTTTTCATCATAGGTTTTTTTTTCGGTTTCTGAGTTGGATGTATACATTTCCAAACCTAACTTTACCTAACCTAACCGTTTTGAAACATGTCAGCAATTCCTATCAACTGTTAGCTATGCTTAAAATATGTAATACACAGCGGGGTTAGTTGTAGCACAGTGTTATAATTAAGCCGCCAAGTGCACAATGATAATCAATTGAAAACGGGGAGTCACACAATTTTTCAGGTTTGAGTATTTATTTATACATTCAACTTTGTTGGACTTTCACAAACAATTTTGGAATTTAAAATGTTTAAAATTTAGTTTACTATGCATTGACCACTTATTAAAAATATGGCCTGTTTTTAATGCAATAAACCCTTTAAATTTAGATTTTAAGCTCATTTGTGTTATAATTACTGTTAATATTATTAATTATAATAATTGTACATGCAGCTGCCACACATAAATCTAATTCAATTGCAATTACATTATTTTATGATTTTATTTATTATTATTTTTATTGCAAAACTGTGCAGCCCTTTTCTATGTCTCTATCCAGAATAGAATGATGATTGGATGAGGGATGGATGTATGGATATCTATCTGTACAGATGCACAAACAATATCTAACTATACAAATAAATAGTACTAAATTATGTGTGTTACACACAAGTGTTAAAATTAACCCCTCTGTTACAATTAACCCCGCATATGCGGTAAGTTGTAACATTTCAGAGCAACAGTACAAAAATGGTAGGTCCTAGAATAAAACTTTAAGTGTTCATTTGTAGCAGAGATGTGTATGTTGCTTGTGTAAAAGTTGAATCTAACTTAATAATTTTTTAATTGAGCCAAAACCAAAATGTGTTAGGTTGTGCCCCGCTCTCCCCCATACTGTATATTTTAGGCCTATACAATATTATTGTAGAATTTTCATCATTTTATATAACCTAGATTGGTCTAATTTGATAAAGAAAAGTCTGATTACCCCCTAACTAACTGCTAGTTGGTCAAATTGGTTCTTAAAGGGATAGTTCACACAAAAATGTAAATTCTGTCAGTAATTCCTCACCCTCATGTTGTTCCAAACCCGTAAGACCTTCATTCATCTTCGGAACACAAATGAAGATCTTTTTGATGAAATCTAAGAGCTTTATCTCCCTCCATTGGCAGCAGCGCAAGTTACGCAACTTTGACGCTTCAAAAAGTCCATAAAGAGATTGTAAAACGAATCCATAAAGTGTCTTAAATTTAA